GTTCTCGAGATATTTAAATTTGTTTGATTTTGAATTAATTTATGGCGTCACGTTGGTTGCAAGCTCAACTTACACTGGTTATATATATAACAAGTCCGCCATTTCTCTCTCAGCACCTTTTGACTTGGAAGTAGTTTTAACTGAATTGTATAGACTCATTGGACGCATCGGATATAAATAGTGACGATCAATCTATATGATTTCATTTTCAACGTGTACTCCATACAGTTAACACGCCCGTTTGGCCTTCTCGTGTCTGGGAGCACAAAGTCAGGCAAAACTACATTTGTGAAAAAACTTTTGAGTTATGTTAATGTCATGATAGACAAACCTCCAGAAAACATTGTGTATTTTTATGCCGAGTACCAAGATACGTTTGGAGAAATTCAAAATTTAGTTCCTGGAATAAAATTTGTAAAAGGTTTACCTGATGATATACTGGATAGTATTAATCCGGAAACACGCAATTTATATGTCATTGATGATTTCATGGGTGAGAAGGACGGAGTTATTTCAAAATTGTTCACGAAAAAATCACATCATGGTAACCTGAGTGTGATCTACATTGTACAAAATTTATTTCATCATAGCAAAGAACACCGTACAATTTCTCTCAATGCAAGTTATTTATGTTTAACGAAAAACGTGCGAAACGCAAGTCAAATTATTCATCTCGCTAAACAACTGTATCCCAGTAACACCAATTTTTTTCAACAAGCCTATCAACTGGCAACCAAAGATTTCTATTCGTATCTATTTGTCGACCTAACTGCTACGTGTCCTAGCGAGATACGGATTCGATCCGGGATCTTTCCAACAGATACGCATTATGTCCATCAACCCAGAGTATAAGAAAGTGGAACGTGTGTAAAATGTTCATTTGATCATGTCTGCTTGTATGAAGAGGAACTCCGAACTTCTGAAAGTATTGGCCAAGTGTAAACCTGAACTGAGAAAAGCTATTTTGAAAGCGGCTGAAGACGATCTGTTTGAAGCTATAAGACAGTATCTATTAAACGTTTGGTTTGACACGATTAAACTGAAACCGAAAACAGCTAAAAAACTTGCACCACATTCCAAGCATATAAAGTTCGCGGCTGACAAACGAAATCTTATCGTAAAAAGAAGAACCTGTCTAGTTAAAAAAGGGGAGGGTTTCCTACCGTTTCTACTCACTTCAGTTTTGGAACAGTTGGCTAACTTTTTATAGTGGGCACGTCAAGCGATTAGTACTTGTCCCTGAACATATGGTTGAACAGCGAAAGAAACCTCTCGCGGCGCTTTTGGCGACACAGGTCAACGAAATAGACTCGGACATGCAAGATATTATTCGACGACAAGATATACCAAGCGATGAAAAGCCAAAGTTATACGACCAGAATCTGCAACGCTATTTAACCTTTTATGATAAACGAATGAATAAACCTCTTCGAGCAAACGTGACGCACACCGATCAAGCTGAAGAACCTCAAGGAGAACAGCCCAGTGAAGAGCCGGAACCCTCAGACGAGATTGAAACAGATATCATGGATAGTGTACCAGCTACTATGAAGTCAAGAGCTCGACAACTCATCAAAAAACTCAAGTCAAATAAAGATCTTATTGGTTGGAATAAACAGGGCCAGATGGTGTTCAAAGGAAGATCGGTTCCTAGCACAAATATAGTTGATTTAGTGAATGATTCTCTACGTCAAAAAAAGAATTTCAACCCCGACGGCTGGGAATTGTTTTCAAAAGTTCTCGGACATTTGAATGTACCCGAAGGTATTGTGAGAAACGAAAACCGTCTTGGAATTGTTCGCGAATATAAAACCAAAGGTATCCCGGAAAATCTACCCACCACCCCTCGAGTGCAGCAAGAAAAGAGGAAAAAACGCAGAGACAATATTAGTAGTCCATATAAATGGTTAAAATAATTTATTTCTTGTAAGAGAAAATTTTACAATAAATCTATTTAAAACTAAATCTAATGTTTGTACCACTTGTCTATAAAATCACGCACAAGCTCATCATTCCATTCTTTGCTATCCGTAAACATATTTGCAATGGTTGACATTGGAATACGTCTACATCGATGTAAAGCAAAGAATAATGTATATTGTCCGCACACGTCTGATGAAGGGGCTTGCAAATTCTTCTGTTCCATGTAAATGTACCCGAGTTTATTTGTCCAAAAATTGAGTAAAGTTCTGATTATAAAATCCAGGAGCCTGGCCATACGAATCCCAAAATTCCCCTTTGCCATCTTCTGTAAGGTACATTGCAATCCAGTGTGATCCGGGCATATCGGACGCGTCCGTGTTAAGTATATACCCTCTAGGCCTCTTTCTTATTTCGCGAGGTAAACGATCTGATGGTAAAACGTCCGTAAACACCGTTTTTGTAAATGGATCATTTTTGAGAATGTTCATAATCTGCAGCGAGTTCATCTTCAGTTGTTGAAATCACACAACACGTTCCGGTTCGCATCAATTTCGATAAGACTTTGAAATTCACCAAGTACCACGATATTTATAGCTGTCTCCAACGGTGTTCCAAATCGACATTCAATTGACACATTTCCGTTCTTAATCGGTTGTACATAATCACCAAGGCATAAGTCAGGAGTGAGGTCAAACACAAACAGTGTATAACCGTTTGCATATTCTTCACGTGTTATACCATTACCCTAATTATCAAAAATCTTGTGTGCGCCGGCGTACAGGGTTTGAAAAGCAGAAATGTAATTACTTTCTGCTCCAAATTTCAACTGCAGTGGTTTTCCAGGTAAGTTCTCTCCGTTGACAGTGAGACTCTTGGTTGTGATATCGTAATTTTTAAAATTGAACGGATTCTTCGTATATATACCGTTAAAGGCATCCGCGTCGACCATTCCAATCACGATACGATTTGGTAAAGCACCTTGAAATATATTAGGTTGATTTCCAGACATATTCCCCCGAGGTACGGAGACAACCTTGCAGTCGATCCTGTTGATTGGGTATCTGGCAGTGATTTGTTGAAGGGACTGGGAATGAGCCAGTATAATACTAGGGGCTACGTTAACTCGTCGTACACGAAACAAACATTCCTCGATGACCACTTTGAAATTGGGATTTTCTGCGAATGATACCAAACAAAACGGATCTCTAGATCTCACCAGCTTGATCTTGATTGGAACAGCACCAAGAATCTAACGGTCTTGCGCGAATAGATCAGAATGAAGTCTTCCTTCCATGACGACAGATTTGCTTTCACGTGTATATGCATGGCGTTGTTTTAATCCTGTGTTGACGTTGGCGTCTTGTGCGAGAGGGTTTACTACATCCATCTTTCCAGCTTTATCTTTATAGAACAGTGCTGAGGTCAAATGTGAGTCTTTGGCGTCTTTACTAAAGTTCAGGATCGTTTCGATATACGCTCGGTAAGGGTATGCTGTGCTTGATGGGGTGACCAGTTTGTTGTTTAGAAATACTTCAACTTGTGAGAATAATGCATGCATCCAAAGGTTTGAAGGTCCAACTAGAATGTCGGCATCCACATTTCCTCCGGCCGCAGTAGTGATCTTTGCTTTAACGTATAGGTAACTACTTGCTAAGCCGGTATTAACACCAGAATTTGCAGCACATAAAAATTCGATCGTATCTGAAGAAGATATGCTCGTAATAGGATCAACAGCTTCCCAAAATCCCTTTTCCATTACCACTTGAGTCGGTGGAATAGAAAATAAATCGAGTTCAGATTTTGAACACATACAGGAGTCTTTATGCATTGTTTCAAGAGCAATGTCACTTTGGACTATAGTTATCGAGAGATGTTTTCTGCTTCTTGGTTGGAGCACGAATGGGAGTTTTAGCTGGCGCTGCTCTTTTTATACCCGTTTTGCGACCCTTTCCGGTCATTACTTTCTTGGCAGCGTTCTTTGCAACATCAGATGCTGCTTGCTTTCCTCGTGATTTAAAAGCTTCTTTTACATTTTTTCCTTGGAGTACATCTTGACCGACTTCTGTGGCTGCTTGCAATGCTCTTTTGCCAAGAACTTTAGCGCCTTGTTTGAACAGAGGGATAGCATATCTCGCAAGGCTCTTGAAAATACTTCCGATCCCATATTCCCTTTGCATACGAGCACCACGAAACCCAGTGATATTCGCACCACGCTGTTGTCTCAAGAAATGGTCTTTCAACAGTTTAGCAACCACAACTAGTCTTCCACGCATTTTTAGATAAAGTACTGAGATCTCTTCTGTCTAAAGTGAAGTGTTGCGATTGACTTCCCGAACTCAAATGAGACGTTTTCGTTTTGGTCATTCTTTATATTGACTTCAATGGTCTCAAAAGAATTTACTTTGACCGGTACGTATTGCAAATTACGAAAACTAGCGTGAACGGTGTTTCCATATTCCCCCTCGATATTAACGATTCGTAGTAAAGGTACTTTCACATCGCCGACAAATTGTACATCAACGATATCAGTATAGACATACATGGAGGAAAATCCACCATTGATATCTGCAGGATAGGGACTCGAAGTTTTCATTTCAATAAGAGTGTCCTGGGCAAATCCCAAGACGGTTGCTAATTCTCCGGTAAACCACATAGTTGTGTCGTGTTTTACATCAACCGAAACTTTGCGAGAACTGCGATTATAACTAAACTTCACTTTCGTTTGTGTTTCTTTCGACATGCCGACATTGAGTGCTTTTGTTAGTTGCTCAATAGAAGAATATTGTGTTTCTTTAAGCACGACAGTTTGATAAGGGCTACTACCAATTTTATATAAAAACGTTTGTTGCACTCCACGTTTTAGCGTGCTCCACGTATGTGGGTAATACAGTTCCGTCAATGCCACTTCCCATTGGCCTGGCAAGACAATGGTTTCGGCCAATTTCACTCGAAAATTTGCCACTGTACTATTTTGAAAATAAGCCATAGAACTATTACTCAGTAACGTGAGATAAAACTGTGTTGCCATATTGAAGACCAACACACAAATGAATACAAGTTATTAGCTTCAAATATATTTATTTCAGATCTTTTACACTCTCTGCTGGTACCCAAGGATTAAACTTGTCAGGGTAACCCAAATATTTTACATAATACTCTTTACGTTTATTACGCATGCGTGATGTTATTACTTTTTCTACTCTATAATAGTCACTGTCTGATTTGTTGACTTTCTGAAGTTCCTGTTCGTAAAATGTTCCTTCCAGTTCTTCACCGTCATAATCTGCAATCTTGTAAACAGGCGGTCGTCGAGGCACGCGTTTCGTTACCGTGTACACTTCTTCAGTCCAATTGGGCAAGTATCCTTTCTTAAATGTTCGCTTTGCTTTGCTAATCCGGACTTGGTCGCCAATGTTAAACTTAAACTGGATTGATTTTTTCGACTCCTTCCCGTAGAGTGTTTGCCACACAATATTCTCGTTACTTTTATTCACATCTACCAGTATCATTCCAATACTACCATGTCGAGAATGATTATAAGATTTGACCAGTTTCTGGAGAATGTCTACGTACTTGAGCGTATTGTTCGCTGTAAAGTATTTCCCACTTTTTCGTCCTGAGCGTGCGATTTAACCTTTCAACAATCGATAGTAGTAATACCCCCCCATATGGAGTACAAAGGGATGCCGCCAATGACGTCACGCCGCTCCGAAAGTAATTAGTATGCAAGATATGTGACGCAACTTTGCAGGCCCTAACCCTAACCCTGGGCCAACTGTGACAGGTAGCGCGACCAATTAACGCGGGCAAGTCTGGGCCAACTGTGACAGGTAGCGCGACCAATTAACGCGGGCACGCCTGGGCCAAACGTGACAGGTAGCACGACCAATTAACGCGGGCAGGCCTGGTCTAGATTGTGTTTTTTTTTTCGGGTGATTAAAACCTGCTCTTGCGATAGCTCAGTTGGTAGAGCGGAGGACTGTAGTTCCTTAGGTCGTTGGTTCAAGCCCAGCTCGCAAGATTTAAAAACAGGCGTTCTTTTTCGCAGAAAAATGTATATGTATTTCGGAGTCTAATTCAAAATAACCGGAAACTTTGAAAGCTTACAGCGAAGCATATAATCTAAATAGCTCGGAGTTTGGCTCGAAGCCGGTCCGTTCGAAGCATAGTCTTTAGTTGACAACGCTTGGTTCATGTCTACACGGTAAAGTTACTACCTCTTCGACTACGAAAAATGGTACATTTTGATTCTGTGGGAAAAAACTTTTAGAACAGTTGTAATTTATTTTGTGATAAAAAATTAATCAAATGTGCGGTTGCTATATACGTTGTTATGTATTGTCGGTCATTAGCGGCGCTTGGGTGCATGCATATATTAATGTACGACATAGTTGTACTCAGGCGGGCGGGTTGCGCGGATAGGAAAGATCGGGCTTTGCGGGCAAAAATTTACACAAGATTTCAGTTTTAAAATTGCATTTATTTCTTCAAAACGTTTTACAAAATTTAGTACGGTCTACTTCTCAGAGCATAACGTTTACGTGTTTTTGTTATTTTGAGTTCTCATATTCTTGTCTATCTTCAGGTGATAATCGTGCAACATCTTCATGTTTCATTGGAATATATTTCGGTCTTTCGTTTAGTAAAAAACGTTCATAACGCTCTCTTTCCTTCGGTTTCATCATAGCCAGATCACTTTCTTTCCAATCAGCAGAATCTACCCAATTGTGAAAAAAGTTGCGCTTGAGTTTTGGTCGTTCCTCTTCTGTTTGTGGCGGTGTAAGGAAATTAGGCTTAGGAGTGGCAGGTATTGGTGATGGTATTTCCGTTGGTACAGAAATAGGAGGTACTTGTGGTGGTATTTCTGCCGACACTAGTGGAGTTCTCTGAACAGGGGCTTGAGCCGGGACATCCATCTTATTTTTGAATGTCAGAAACCGGTTTAGCTGATCAGAATATAACTTGCTTTTTTCCACTGCGCTCAGCTGTGGCGCTTCTATGATTTCTTTCATTCGCTGCTCGGCATCATACATTGCATTTAATTGTGGTGGTTGTTGATACGACTGTTTTTGTATAAACTTTGCAATCTCGCCGGGAAGTACGTTGGTCTTGAGTCGTTGTTGGTCGTCTGTTGTTGGCTTTAAATCCAACATCAAGTATCCGTGAGGTCGGCTCGTGGCAGCTTCATAACTCTTCATAAATTCTTGTACTTTACCAGGATCTACCTGCCTTGCAAGCATAGAAATTTGCTGTTTATCTCTTGGTGACTTGAACAACACGATATAATGAGCATTAAGGCTGATATTTCTCATTTCTTTGCCCTGATGAAATATGTTTTGGACAATATAGATGATGGACAAATTTCTATGATGGCTTCCTTTCGTAAAAAGATCAGAAATACGTTTATCTTTGCCAGATTGAGCCATAAGATCATCCAATACGATTAAATTCCGTTGAGATACGTCCAAGTAATTTGCGTTGTCGATGTCTTCGGGGATGCCTTGATTAAACTCGATTCCAGGCATCGTTCTCATCATATCAAAATAGGAGGGTTGCCATTGACCATAACACCAAATGATACGTTGAGGAGGTGGACTTATAGTCGTTTGAGCATTCTCCAAAAGAGATTTCACCCATACGGTTTTGCCGCTTTGTGTACACCCAGCTACGATGCACGTGAAAGGATGCTGCATAACACTGGACCTATTGCCGATTACAGTTAACCTTCGTTCATCTGTACCGGTGCTATGCATCTGTTTTTTGTGACGTGAACGGTTACCAGGTGTTGAAAACGATCTTCCACAGACCTCGCAAGAATAAGACATGTTTACAGGTTCACAATCAAATGTAAAATGAATTCGAGGTTTGTGTACCGTTACATAAATAGTATTATATGGTTAAACCAACATAAATAATCCTATGATATCCTAAGATGCTGTATGATATCCTAAGATGCTGTATGATATCCTAAGATACTGTATATATCCTAAGATACTGATATCCTAAGATACTGATATCCTAAGATACTGTATGATATCCTAAGATACTGATATCCTAAGATACTGATATCCTAAGATATTGTATGATATCCTAAGATACTGATATCCTAAGATACTGATATCCTAAGATGTTGATATCCTAAAATGTTGATATCCTAAGATATTGATATCCTAAGATACTGATATCCTAAGATACTGATATCCTAAGATACTGATATCCTAAGATACTGATATCCTAAGATACTGATATCCTAAGATATTGATATCCTAAGATATTGATATCCTAAGATACTGATATCCTAAGATATTGATATCCTAAGATTTTGATATCCTAAGATACTGATATCCTAAGATATTGATATCCTGAGATACTGATATCCTAAGATACCGATATCCTAAGATACTGATATCCTAAGATATTGATATCCTAAGATACTGATATCCTAAGATACTGATATCCTAAGATACTGATATCCTAAGATATTGATATCCTAAGATACTGATATCCTAAGATACTGATATCCTGAGATATTGATATCCTAAGATATTGATATCCTAAGATACTGATATCCTAAGATATTGATATCCTAAGATACTGATATCCTAAGATATTGATATCCTAAGATATTGATATCCTAAGATACCGATATCCTAAGATATTGATATCCTAAGATATTGATATCCTAAGATACCGATATCCTAAGATACTAACATCCTAAGATATTGATATCCTAAGATACTGATATCCTGAGATATTGATATCCTAAGATACTATTTTCGTTAATATATAAATATGTTATTTCCAACTAAATCTTCATTCCGTCGCTGACCGCCGAACAGAGATGACTAGCAGTTATATCAAACATAGACCGTTTGTGGAGCTCTTGTGTATTTCTCATCCAATTCAACAGCAAGCTCTGTTGAATTCTGCATCTCATGAACAGATTCGCTTTCTATGTAATTGCTTGGAAAACTTTACATATCCTAAAGGAACATTGAACAAACTTGGACCATTTAGAGATGACCTCGCTGACTTGGCGTACAGCAGTAGGAGTTTTAGAAAGAAAAGGAAAATTCTTGTTCAGCGCGGGAGTGGTTTTCTAGGATTGGTACTTGCGCCACTTTTAGAGGGGCTTGCAGATTTAGTATAAAACAATCATCATTAATTCACATTGTCATTCCAACCATGGACAGCAAGGAAAGATCATCTCCAAGACATTGGCGCGTTGAAGATATACTTGGACACTTAAACGATAATGCTGATAAAGACAATGCTGAAGAACTTCTTCACTGCATTCTCGCATCCACGGATATTCTCACATGGAATCTTCAAGGGGAAATTGTATACAAAGGACAGAATATACGTGGAACAAATATTGTAGATCTTTTGCAATTTACTGTTTTACCATATAATACTGAAATTCCAGAACCGAACGCATCAATATGCCAAGGGGTAAACTTGTTGTAGACGAAAAACTATTGAAAGACCATTTCTTGAGACAACAACGTGGCGGAAACATCGCTGGGTTTCGTGGTGTACGTTTTCAAAGAGGATACGGAATCGGAGGTATTTTCAAGAGCCTTGCGAGATAAGCTATCCCTCTATTCAAACAAGGTGCTAAAGTTGTTGGCAAAAGAGCATTGCAAGCAGCCACAGAAGTTGGTCAGGATATACTCCAAGGAAAAAATGTAAAAGAATCTGTAAAGACTCACGGAGGTGCCGTTGTTAAAGACGTTGGTGAGCAAGGAGCAAGGACTCTTCTGCGTCAAACTGGGCATGGACGAAAGAGAAGGCGAAGTCAATGCAGTAATTTATCAACTACAAAGAGGTTAAAAAGTTGTTCTCATATAACAGTCCCAAGACATACCAAATGGATTACGGAAGATTAAAGCAGCCACGATGATGAAAGCACCTATGATGAAGAATCTGATAGCGAAACCCTTGAAACAAGTCACGATATATATTAGAAGCATAACTTTGTAAAACGTTTTGAAGAAATAAATGTATTTAAAAACTAAAATATTGTGTAAATTCCTACCGGCAAAGCCCGCTCTTTCCGCCCGCGCGACCCGCCCGCCTGATAAGTGTACACATATTTTGTACGTTAATATATGCATACACCCAAGCATCGCTAATGACTTAGCGACACATAACAACGCAACGTTTGTAAAGTTTTGAAGCATGTTTTATTGATACAAATAACAGATGATAGTATCAAAAAATACTACAACTGTTCTAATTCTAACTTCTATTCTTGATAAACTTTCTTGTGATCATCTTAACAGTATATATGTATGTAGGAGAATTGCTAAATAATGTTGAACAACATGCAAATATTGACCATAACAACGACGTTGACAACTCGGGATTAGGAACTGTTTAGTTTAAAATATGTCTTGATTTTTGCGACGAATAGATTCCTCGCTATGGAACATACGAAAAATCTTTCAATATACATGTGGAAATTTATCTCTTTCGAGCAAAGATACGGCTATAACTCTGCTATATATTAATTTCGATAACAATTTTGCCATGTGAGGAACTCGAGCTATTC